AATACTTTATCAGTTCGGAAAATCGCTACGCGCACAAGTAAGTCGAATGCTTGCTGAGCAACACTTCGACTGGCGCGCGGTCTAAATAATCTCTTGCTGCGTTCAAAATCATCATCCAAGATTCAAAATCATCCACCCAGGTATAATTTTATCCTTCACATTCGATGAAATAAAATAAAATTTATGAAAATATAGATATTTTCCTATACATTACGTTTTTCAAATTATTACAATAATTATTTAAAAAATCGATTTCTTCGAAACTATTGGCCAATGGCTGAGACAACGGCAAATGGCCGGACACGAATCGTTTTTTTATTTTTACTTAAGGACAGCCTGTAAAAAGCGTCAAAATCCGATGCTATCACCTGATATTTCTCTTGTAAGTTACATATAGTGTGTATGTACATGTTAATTGTGTTATTTTACAGTTATATTGTTGAATGAGGCATTACATTTACACAGAACAGAAACATCCATTAGACGTTCATCATGAAGATTCGAAACTATTAGACGTAAAACTTCCACTGGACATCCACTAGAAATCCAGAGTTCCATATTTTATACGTCGATAAGACCTCTATTCCATGTATTAAAAAATGTCTATTAGGCATTATACGGATGACGTTATATGGATCAATTGTAGATGTTTATATAGAGCTCATAAAGCTTGTCTAGATGTTTAAACGTTAAATGATCAATTATAGATGAATTAGAGCTCTAATAGATGTTGAAAGAACGTTGTATGCACACACAAAAATATAATTACTTACTTTCAAAATGAGAATATTTTTTCTCTGTTAAAAAAAATAACTTTTTTTTGTTATTATTAACTTTTTATTTTTCCTGTTCAATTTATATTTTTACTGTTTTGCATACCTATGTATATTCTGTTTTATTAACTACAATTAATTATTAAAAAACGTATCACATTGTCGGTAAGATTCGAAACCAAAACGGAGGCTTAATACATTTACGCTGAGGTGATTGAGTCATTGCCAATATTATCTTTTACCGTAATCATTCTTAATTTCAACCTCTGTTGACAGTTTAATATTATTAATGTTTGAGGAGATTATATACATGTAAACGAAATAATACGCTGGTATTTATTAACTTAGTTGAGTTTGGAAAATGGCAATGACAAATTGTTTGTCCTTAGTGCTGGATCAGTCTCTGGTCTTGAGAGATCGTGCGACCGTGGCAGACGTGTGTTTCGTCTCCCTACCATAGGTGCGTTCGGCAATGTAAATCTGAGATGTGAGCTAGCAGATGGCGAGCTTGATTACGTGATCTTCGAGCAATCCGAGTGCTAAGAATTAATTCCGAACGCTACAGAACTATAAAGTGTTCTTTAAGATTAGATTATAAAATGAAATTATTTATTTTTATGAATAAATAAAAAATACCCTATTAATTAAAATTTTCTCTTTCGCTTTACTAGAAACTAATAATAGTCTTATATACTACAAATAGATCGTTACATATGAATGTAGCAGACTCATATGGGTAATTCTTTTACAAATCGAACACCTGTCTGATCGACACCTCTTCGATTTGACTGAAACTTTTTTTACGGATTCTATGTCGAAAAAAAAGAGATACGTGTCCGAGGAATTTTTTTTTATTTGCATATTTTCGATAATACAAGTGATCGAACATTTGAGAATGGCAAGTTTTTTGGCTTGGAGACTCATTTTCATAAATCCATAGGTCCGAATCTTTAAGAGCTACAAAATTTTCACCAATTGCACTTTTGTAGCTGAAGGACTGAACTGTAAGAAAAAAATTTTTTTTACAAAAAATACTAACAAATTTATATTGTTATTAACAATTTAATTGTTTAAATCGATTTTTAACAAACGCCCCCAAAACGAATCAAGTTTTTAGTATTTTTATCGCATTCTCCGTCAAATTTTACGTCAAAAACATGTTTTCAAAATATGGTACCTTTTCAATTATTATTGTTAAAATATTAATTTATATAGCGCGTAACGGCCAAAAAAACGGTTTTTTGCTAATAAAACGAAATCTGTAACTCGTATCAAAAAAAGTTAAATGTAAAAGTTGTAGATAATTGACAGATCTACAACTTTTCTCGAAAATTTTTTTTGACATAACCTCAAAATTTTAAATTAAATTGCAAAAAATGTTAAAAATCAGCTTTGTAACAATTATTTCTTGACAATTTGCATAAAAAAAAGTTTATGGGTAATTAATTTCGAATCGAATCTCCTGACATGTTAGAAAACCAATCTTGATTGAAAAAAAATTATTATCAAGCTTTGAAAAAAAAATCTATCCAGTGCGTCATGTAATATCGCCCTGTTGGTTGTATTAGCCACCACTGCCATGAAAGACTTTGATAAATAATAATAGATCACTATGGATTACGGATCTCACTTTAGGCGGACTTCCCCGCGAAATTTTAAAAATATGCAAAAATTAAAAAACCAATATTAAACCAAAAAACCATTGGAGAAATAATTATGAATGCTAAGAAACGAAGTTCCAAAAAATACATAATTTCAAAATATAAAATAAATCCCACATGTCAAAGTTACGCACTGGATGGATTTTTTTTTCAACGCTTCATAATAATTTTTTTTCAATCAAGATTGGTTTTCTAACATGTCAGGAGATTCGATTCGAAATTAATTACCCATAAACTTTTTTTTATGCAAATTGTCAAGAAATAATTGTTACAAAGCTGATTTTTAACATTTTTTGCAATTTAATTTAAAATTTTGAGGTTATGTCAAAAAAAATTTTCGAGAAAAGTTGTAGATCTGTCAATTATCTACAACTTTTACATTTAACTTTTTTTGATACGAGTTACAGATTTCGTTTTATTAGCAAAAAACCGTTTTTTTGGCCGTTACGCGCTATATAAATTAATATTTTAACAATAATAATTGAAAAGGTACCATATTTTGAAAACATGTTTTTGACGTAAAATTTGACGGAGAATGCGATAAAAATACTAAAAACTTGATTCGTTTTGGGGGCGTTTGTTAAAAATCGATTTAAACAATTAAATTGTTAATAACAATATAAATTTGTTAGTATTTTTTGTAAAAAAAATTTTTTTCTTACAGTTCAGTCCTTCAGCTACAAAAGTGCAATTGGTGAAAATTTTGTAGCTCTTAAAGATTCGGACCTATGGATTTATGAAAATGAGTCTCCAAGCCAAAAAACTTGCCATTCTCAAATGTTCGATCACTTGTATTATCGAAAATATGCAAATAAAAAAAATTCCTCGGACACGTATCTCTTTTTTTTCGACATAGAATCCGTAAAAAAAATTTCAGTCAAATCGAAGAGGTGTCGATCAGACAGGTGTTTGATTTGTAAAAGAATTACCCATATGCAAGGTGTGTTTTCTTAAAAGAAAATATTACATTGCAAAATAAATTTCAGCAATTTATAAGTTATTTTGACACTTGATTTATATTCGTTGGAGTCTTTAATATATTAAAATAGTTTGATTTTATTTTATTCTATATATGCAACACACATAAGCTTTGATCTAAAAATTAACTAGCAAATTCTTTGTTTTTAAATACGTAACTTTAAAATTCATAAAGAGGAAAAGAATTAAAAACTTTCCTCGTTAAATATTGTATATAATGTACTCCATCAATTTCTATTTGATAGCATTTGTTTGAGCATTTGTAGACTCAGACATTATAACAGTTCAACAGTATAACAGTTATAACAGTACACTATTTGTAAAATAGAAGTATTAAAAGAGATGAATGTACGTTATGTGTTAACGAAGAGGGATTATCATAAATATACAGTGAATTTAATTTAGGTGCGAAAATTAGCTCTGCGAACTCTTTGAATTCGAAGTGGATCGAGCAGCTCGATTGGCTCTAGAAATTATAATACCGAACGCAGATGAGATGACATGTACAATAGTAGAAAGATGCCAAACGATTTTCGAAGTAAAAGAGCACATAGATGCCTCCGATTTGCAATGCCGAACGCACCTCATATTTGAATGTTGCCTTATTTTTTGCGTAAGTGTGGCCAACTTTGATTGTGCTATTTGTGTTTGGATTCTAGTGTTTTTCTTCTGCAGTCTATCCCATCCTTCTTCCCGTCGAGAAGCGGCATTGTCCTCGGCAGCAGCACGATATATGAGAAATCGCAATGTCACCGGTATGCGCTGCATATTCATTTAGCATTCGATTGGTAAACAACGGATTTTTTGGTTAGCTGTTCGTCCCCTCGAATAATTGGCCGATAGTTATCACCCTCAGCGGTATCTTCTACAGAATCAGCTCTGGTTCTGCGTCGCGTTTCGCTAATCAATCAATTCAATCTTTTGGTAATTAGTAATCCAGAACTATTTCCCCGGCATTATGCCGGAACCCCCGGCTGGTGCCAGAAGGGACGTCTTTCGCCTTCCCTCGCTCCCGGTCCTCCTAATTTTTAATCTCCCAACTCATCTATCTCAATCCCGCTTATTCAGTTTGACGAATTCGTCAATTCCCAGATTGGTAAATTTCTGATAAAAAAGTTTATCTAAAAAAATCAAATACCTTTCCGCCTTCATCTGCAAACGCCACGGATTCAAATCAAGCAGCCAACCTCAAATACAGAGGCTGCAAATTGTGAACTCCCGTCAAAGTCATGTTATGATGGACATCGAAGGTACATCGTCGAAAACCGCTACAGAAAGAAACATTCCGGAATCGGCCAATCCAGGCATTTCGCAAAAAAACAAGAGAGTTGTACTCGAAGTTTCTTCCTCCCCCTCCTCCCCCTCCCGCCAAGGCTCAAAAGACTCAAACAGGTAGGAATATTGAAACAGTCAAATATGTCTCGCAATATTTTATATTGGTAAGCCACTTTTAAAAAATTTCAAAAAAAAAAAATTTCTAGTTAAATCTCTACCTCAAATTAGCAACCGTTATCTAACTACAGACGGCAGCCCGTTTGCAGTACGTGTTCGTAACCAACACGAACCAAGGCTTTTTTCTCATGCATGAAGCGTTAATCAAAAGGGTTATCGCAAACAGTCAAAAGCGACATTGTTTAAATGCAGTCACGAGAAAATTCTCGTTGGAATGCGGTCGTTTGAAGCTCTGCTTTAGCGACACATAATCTCCGCGCATACATTCCCACCTATCATATTCTCAGAATGGGTGTGATACGCGAAATCAACGTTTCTCTGGAAATCAATGAAGAACTTAAATGGGCACTTCAGGCTTCATGCAAAATTGTCAGTGTGCAACGGCTCAATCATGCAGTCACTGTTAATGGGAAAAGAGAATATATTCCTTCACGTTCGCTGTGCATTAAATTCGCTGAGCAAATTCTACCCAGCCACGTAGTACTTTGCTATGATAAACATCCAGTTTCGCCATACGTTAGGATTTGTTATTCGTGCTACAGAGTAAGCCACACTCAAAAACATTGCAACAGCAACGCGAGATGTATGACTTGCGGCAACACTCCGCATGAAAATGTCAGCCCCTGTCCTCATAAAGATAAACCACTGCACTGCATTAATTGTGGTGGGGATCACCTCCCAGCGGATACAGTGTGTCTCGAAATTACCATGCAAAAAGCTATAATCAATGCCGCAGCGATCGAAAACATCTCTCTTATGGAACCTAGAAGGAAAATGTGTGGCATTGACTCTCGATATCTATCAGCCATAAATAATTCGAGATTAGACGCGTCCACTTTCCCACCCCTTAAAACTCGCTTCGGAATAAATCATCTGACTCCGCGTTCCAAAACAAATACTTCCTCAACTCTCTCTCTCTCTCTCTCTCTCTCTCTCTCTCTCTCTCTCTC